TTAAAGATTTATTTATTTATTTGTTTGTTTATTTATACAAGCACTGGGTACAGTCAGAAGCGCGGGAGGGTGAGAGAATTCACCAGAGCCAGAGCGGGGAGCAGAACAGGCAGAAGGACCGAAGTACACTGCTGAGGGGAGCAGTGGGCAGCAGGAGAGGTCTGCGGCCATGTGGGACCCTCACCCGGCGGCCGGGGATCGAACCGGCGCTGCAGAGGCTGCGGGCAGCTTCGCAACCCAGCGCTCAACCGCTGCACCACCGGGGAGGCCCCAAAAAATAAATCTTTAAAAAAAAGAAATAAAATCCTGGGTATGTTATATTATGGTGTCTGTTTATATATCTGATACCATTACTTTGCTCTAGTATACCTATAGTACACAGGTATAATACATGTACTATACAAATGTTTGGTAGGTGAATAAAATAATTCCTAGTAAAATCAAATTTGGTTTTCTATTTATATACTTAAGGAAAAATGGAAGAATTATACTGCAAAAGGTTTAGTATCTCTAAATGAAGCAAATGATGACAAAATAACATCTTGGGGAAAGGGGCACATTTTGGTGAGATTGTAGATTGCTATAACATCTAAGGAGGGGAATCTGTCAATATCTACCAACATTTAAAAATGTGCACACTCTTTAGACAATTCTCCACAAGAATTTATTCCATACTCACATATTTGGGTAAAAATCACCTATAAGGGTATGTATTGCAGAACTGGTTATAACAGCAAAAACATCTGAAATAAATGTCTTTTAACAGGACTGGTTAACTATGGTACCTACAGATTGTGGGAAACTCTGCAAAGAGCTGATGAGACTCAACAACAACAACAAAGAAAATAATCCAGTCAAAAAATGGGCAGAAGAGCTAAAAACAAACTTCTCCAAAGAAGAAATACAAATGGCCAACAGGCATATGAAAAAATGTTCAACATCACTCGCAATCAGGGAAATGCAAATCAAAACTACAATGAGATACCATCTTACACCAGTGAGAATAGCACATATTAAAAAAACTAGCAACAACAAATGTTGGTGAGGATGTGGAGAAAAAGGAACTCTCCTGCACTGTTGGTGGGAGTGCAAACTGGTCCAACCACTATGGGGAGCTGTGTGGAGATTTCTTGACCTACTAAACATAGAGCTTCCAAATGATCCAGCAATTCTACTCCTAGGTATTTACCCAAAGGACACAGAAACATCAATTCCAAAGAGCACCTGCACCCCTTTTTATAGCAGCACTATTTACAACAGCTAAGCTTTGGAAACAACCCAAATGCCCAAAAATAGATGACTGGCTCAAGAAGATGTGGTACATATACACCATGGAATATTACTCAGCATTCAAAAACGATAAACACATGCAATTTGCAGCAACATGGATGGCGCTGGAAGGGATCATGCTCAGCGAAATAAGCCAGAAAGAAAAAGAAAATTACCAGATGGTCTCACTCATAGCAGGAATCTAGAAAACTTAAATAAGGGACCAGGAAAATGAATAACTATAAGAAAGAGAAAATCAAAATCAACAAACAACTATGAACCAGAGACACTCTATCGGGGGTGGGGGGCAGGGAGGGGAGGGATCGGGGTCAAAATAAGGGGGTTGCAATTGTATGGGGAATATAAAAATAAAATTTATTTTAAAAAATAAATAAATAAAAGAATAAGGTCAATCAGTATGTATTTTACACTCTGTAAGACAAATTGTGAGGTAAAAAAAGATACCAAAGAATATGCTGACATTAGTGTTTTAAAAAGGGGGAGAGAGTCCTATATATGTTTGATTATATATTACAATGCCAGTGAAAGAATACATGAGAAACTGCTTCATAGTGGTTGCCTCTGGAGAGGAGAAGCTGGGAATAACAGTGGGACACTTACTTTTCATTGAGTATTCTTTTATCTTTTAAATTTTTATCACATACACATACTAGGTAGTTAAATAAATGCAATAAAGCTTTAGTAATAAAATGCCAATCAATTTATAAAACTTTATAAAATTAAACATTAGAATAGTGCTAACAATGATTTTCAATCTTTTCTTGATCACTGATTGGCAGTCTGCAGATACTATTCAGTCATTCAAACAACTATTCAGTTATCATTAGGTGCAAAGATGCAAATATACAGAAGATATATAAAACTCAAAGAGCTCACATTTTAGTAGGGAAAATGAAGTATATTCAAATAATCTCAATGTAAAGAAGCACTTCTCATTTAAAGTTTCTCCAATAGCAGCTAAGTATAAATAAACCTACATTGCTTTCCAGAGCCTGCTTTCTGGGTTGCAGCAGCAGAATGATAGCCCAACAAGGAGAGGGCAGGGAAGTGTGATCACGATTTATTGCAGGAGGCAGGTAAAAGTAAAACCAGAGAGCAATGGATAGGCCAGTCTCTGGCCAAGTTATGGCGATGAAGAAAGAGCTGTAACTTAACAATTAATGGCACTAGAGTTCTCCAACATGATTCTGAATACTGGCACTATTATATAATAAAGCAAGGGGGGGGAAGTCAGTATGAATGATTAAGCAATATTTTACATAGAAATTATGGGTAAATCAGAAAAATTCCCACGCTCTGTCTTCCTGTTTTAAAAAATAACAAGGTCTTATTTTAGCAATTACATAAGATATGACATTTATGGCAGCTGAGGATGAAAAGCAATCAGTGGCTTTGCAATATTAAAAGTTGAAGTGATGAAACATTAGTTACGTATATAGACTGTGAATTTTTTCATGCCCTTTGTAGTCAAATATTACTCAAAATATCCTCCCATAAGGTAGGATACAAACAAGATAACTGCAATTTTTTATATCCACATCTTTTCATGTGGAAATCTCAAGGCATTTGCAAGCATTCATTAATTCCCAATATCCTGGTCAGACACATTAGAGAAATAAACTGGGGCACAGAGCAGGTGAACAGCGCAAAGCCAATAAAATCATTAACAGATTTGGAAAAAGATATATATTCTGGTTCTTGCTCTTGGTTCTAATTTATAAATCACAGCCCCATAATGAAGTGTTTCTTCTCTTAAAAGGTTTGACCAAGTTGTTTATCTTTGATGTTAAAAAAATTAGGTTAAATACAGTTCAACAAATATGAGTTTTAAAAATGAAGAAAAAGAACTGAGTTGATTTTGCTTCAATTAGAATCTTAGTCTTATTTGTTAGAACAGAGTGAGAAAATACATTACTAAATGCTAGGGCTGGAGGGCCTATAATTTTCCACATTTCTCCACACACTGTTCTATTTTTCTGTGGTTTACTATGTCCAAAGTCTTTTCTAGACCTCAATCTTCCCTGCAATGCAGCTATTTTAATTAACAGAACAAATGTATTATTGAACATCAATGAAATAACCAAAACCATAATTAGACATGCAGTATATGATAAATAATTCATAGTTACATGGCCACAGAACCTACATTCTATAGGGAATTGCAAACCATAATAAATCCATAATGTATCATAGTACACTTAATGATTATTACAAAAAAGTTACAACACAAAAAGAAAATTTAAATGTTAACAACTACATAAAATTCATAGCACTCTTCAGATTTGTGTTTTATATTTTACTCTTAAAAAAGCTATTAATTCCTGATGTTACTTTTGACTTATTTTAGAATAAAAATCACTAGTTCCAAGCAGAATTTGGTAAGATTTGAAACTTTAAAAAATTCTTTTCAATGAAGCAAGGCCTGAATCATTATGCACTGAATTTCAATCAGTGAAACCGAAGGTTTTCATCCTAAATGCCTACCTGCGCATTGGCTTTCCTTCCATGCACCATGAAAAGTACCCTTCACCACACTCTAAAGCCGAACCTAAGACAACAGAAAAGCAGTAGCTTAATAAAAACTATTTCTGGTCTTTCCAACGTCAATCTCTATATAATCATTCATTCAGTGATCAATAATTTTATATCCTATTATATCACAGCCTTTTGCAGATACACAATAATAACCGTTATCTAGTACCTTTCAGGTGACTATCACTATTATTATTATGAATGCTACACAGTTTGTATGTGAACAGTGAAGAACTAAATAGGTCCATTGCTAAGTTAGCCTTGCCTCTCTTCTAAAAGCACTTGGTGACATTTAACTCTGACCTCACCAACAAGTACACTTACAGAACAGTTACCTGATAATCACGGCAACAATGAAATGATTGATCAGATAGGGAACATGCTGGTTTACCAACAAATCTGAAAGCTGTTAATTTGCCCCTAAATGACAGCATCAGGAAGTGGAATTTTCTTTTTAAAACAACGCAGCTTCCGACAGCCCGGGCAGCTTGAACAGAACTGGGAAACTATGGCTTTAGACTAACATTCTCTTGATAAGCCCTTTCCTCATTCTCCGAAACAATGTCCACCACCCACTTGGCAAAATCTCGCCAAGTCCCCAGGGTTAACGGGGACGCACAGTATCCATTTTCTCCCCCCGAATTCCAACGCCCAGCTGATGAAACTGACCAGGGTGCGGAACCCAGCGCTCCCAGACTGGACAGTCCAGCGCCTCCCCCGGCGCCGGGGTAGGGGTAGGGCTGTCCGCCAGAGAAAGAGCAGTCTGCAGCCCCGCTAGGCCCAGCACCCCAACAGCCCCCACACAGCGCCCACTGACCGGCGGTGGGCGAAGCCGGGCCCCTACCCCATCGGGCAGCACGGCAATCTGGGACCACAGATTTGCAAAGCGAGCCCTGGGCGCTGTCCACTGTCCCCTGCTCTAAGGCGGCTAACTTACCGGCTCTAACTCTTTCTTCTGCTCCGCTGCGGGCTACTGTGCCTCCTCCGCCCGCCGCTGCCTGTCTGCTCGCACCTTCGCCGCTAGCGCACTCAAGATGCGGCTCCTCGAGCTGTTTTCCTTCCCACCCCTCACCCCAGTTCAGCAGCAGGAAGTGGTCCTGCTCCTAAATTGCTCCTCCTGGAAGCCACACGGCGCGCTAAGAGGTTCCGGTGCGGCGCAGGAAGTAGCCGCGCCCGTCGCTGGGGATTCGGGGAACGTCAAACGCTGTGCTCGTGTCCCGTTCCCTGTAGTCCCAGGGTGACCACTCTACAAGTTTACAGGTGAACTGGAAGTAATTAAGTACTGTAGCCTCCTTTTTTTTTTTTTTAATGTGTTTTCCCCAGCTGAATGCAATAGAAAGGTGAAAGTGGTCACGGAAAACCAGGAATTTTGTTTTATTTGTTAACTGGTGGGTCTCCTAGTGACACAATCTTGTCCACAATGGTGGATTGATTGATTTGCGTACGCAAACATGTGGTTTAAATGATATATTATCATTTAATATGTAGTATGTAATTCAATATATTAATATAATTTAATATATTTAATCTATACATTTAATATTTTAATAATTATAGAGAAATATACAGTAAATACATATATTTATATTTAATATGTAATTTAATAATAGATATCATTTAGACCCCCATGTTATATGCAAGCTTTTGAGGATACACAGACAAGTCAGAAAGAGACTCAACCTTCCAGACTTCCCACAGTCTAGGCTAATATGTCAACTTACCCTTTTCCCTTAGTTTTTACCCCCAAACGCATTGCCAAACACTTCCGTGGACTCCAGTGTTGGGGGAAAAATAAGTTTCCCCCACAATTTGTCCATTGCTTGATTTTTCCACCACACACAGCCGCCAAATTTTTACTATATGTTTAGAAAACAAAAGAGGAATACCTGTGAAAGACTATTTCTAGTTTCCTGATAAACTATCCTAGGCCAAGCATGAAATTAAATCAGTTTTTTTCTTAGCTGTTCTTCACATGGGTTGGATCTACACAAGTTTGTTTCTGAGAGGGAAAGAATTCATTTTGTTAATTAACTTGTAGTGGTAAATGCATGGTGCTTAGAACCAAACACATAGTTTCATATCCTTGTCCTGTAAATGACTAGCTTTGTGATCTTGGTCAATTTATTGATATATCAAGCACTAGTTTCCTTTACAAGAAGGGGAAGTAATACCTTTTTGATAAAATTGTTTTGAGAAATTATAATTAATTTATAAAAATAAATTATAATGAAGGTCGTTATGTGTTGGCACTTGGGCACTCAGCAAATGTAAGTTTTCTTTCTTCCCCCTCCTGCCTACTTATTTAGATGGTCTCATTTATTAATTGAGTGCTTATTGCATGCTAGGTACTGCTCTAAACTTTGGAAATACTGTGGCGAATGAGACACACAACATTCTGAAGCTGTAGTGATAATTTATTTACCTAAGGTAGTTTACAACATCGTTTCCATTATGAGTAGGTGATCTAAAGCATCTCCATGCGAATGACCAAATATTGTCTAATGAAAAATCAGAGTATATCTAATGAGGATTGTGAAGACAGATTCCCTAGCACTTTATTTTAATAAATGTATTTATTTTTTAAATTGAGGTAACTTTAATATCCCCACCCATCAGTTATAACCACTGTAGTACATCAGCCATAGTCCCCCGCCGTAGTCCATTATGCTTCCTACTTTCTTCATTCTTAGAGTTCCTCTCCCCTCTCCTCACCGCCCCCCCCCATCCCCTTCAGTTCTGTAGTTAGCTTTTGAGGGTTATTTTTTTTAAGATTTAATTTTTTTATGCACACAAAAACTGGGGTATAGGCCAGAGGTGTGAGAGTGAGAGGATTCACCAGAGACAGAGGGGGAGCAGAAGAGACAGATCTACTGAAATACACTGCTGAGGGAAGCAGGGGGCAAGACAGGAGAGGTCTGCTGCACCATGTGAGTAAGCTCCCTGGTCAGGGATTGAACTCATGTCGCAGTGGTGATAGCTTGATGGTGCTGAGACTTTATATCCTGTGCCACCAGGGAGGCTCTCAAGGGTTAGTTTTTAATCCTGTCTTTATTGACCCTTAGTCCACGCATTAGTGACACCACACAGTATCTTTTTCCTTCTGACTTATTTTACTTAGCATTATCCTTTCCAGCTCTATCCATGTTGCTAAAAATGCATGAGTTTATCTTTTTTGATCACTGAGTACTATTCATTGTGACTTGAGCCAGTACTATTCACATGTTCTCGAGCCAGCTTTCCCAATACCACTTACTGAAGAGGTTATCCTTGTTCCAGTGTATGTCCTGGCACCTTTGTCAATGGAGTTGGTTAAAGGTAAAGGAAGGTGGGCTTGGTTGAAATGTATTGGAGAGTTACAGGTCAGTTCATATGAGTTAAGGTGTTCTTTTAAATGACCAGGTCTACCTGGAGGATGGATCCCTAGCTTCTGAACACTGTCTGGGTAGTCACTTTTCCTGTCTTCTTGGTTCTGTGTCAGTGGTCTTTTGGTTCTGGCCAACTTCATGCTTAGTTTTAGGTCAATCACTTCTGTGTATGTGGACTATATGACTCATAGATGAGTGTTACACCCTGTTGCTTCTGTGAAAACAAACTCAGAAGATAGTTAATATGTCCAATTGTTCCTGCTCATGGTGGGTGTGCCACAGTTTCAAAAGTGACACTTAGCCTCTTCTGTAACAAGAGAAAACGGTAATGAGGAAGGTACAAGAATGTTAAGGAAGGCTGCTAACCAATGGCTGAGTATTTAAACCCTTGGTCAGGATAAGAGCAGTTTCTTCTATTTTGGGGAAGGTGTGATTCATTCTCCAACCCACTGCAATATGGCTTGTGCCTCTGCTAACTTTATTTCTTTCCTCTAGTGGAACAATTCAAAGTAAACCAACCCTTTCTATTTATGGCAATGCCTTGAGGACTCCATTTAGAAAGATGAATACAGTACCCTTGGCATTTGCAACAACTAGAAGATTTCTGCCACCCCCAGTCAGACTACGGAGAGCCTGCATTTCTAGTCATAGATAGACCTAAAATAGATTTCGTCTCTATTGAGTGTGAAGCAGAGGCATCAGCCAAAAGATTCACGAGGGGCTGCTGAATTTATCTTCTAGTCTTTCAGTTAGAAATTTGAAATTACATCCGGTTTGCTGTATATAAAATACTGTGCTTGGACCCAAGATTTAGCAAAACCCACAGGACTCCTAGTTTTGTGGAGTTTTTGTTTTGGGGGAGACATTATAAAATTAATGCATGAATTTATGGGTAATTGTCTAATAATAATTGGGATAATTGTCTGAAAGAGACCTATGGCATGCTAAAGAAAATATCTAGTAGGGAGCCTGGATCTGGACTACAGGGTAAAAAGGAGGGTCCAGCCTTAGTTTGGGGTGCCCTAACAAAATACCACAGACTGGGTGACTTACACAACAAAAATGTATTTCTCCTCAAATACCAAACCACAGTTTTAATTACAGAGTTTAACATGTTTTGGTAATAACTTTTAGGTTAACTCTGCCCTTTTCTGCTTCTAGTTTTAGACTGTTTAATGGTATTTATACTATCTCTGTGGTTTTGGTATATGAACATACAGATGAATAGAGCAGAATAGGAAACCCAGAAATTGACCTAAGAACTGTAACCTGAAATAATAATAATAATAATAAAAGTATTCCTTGTCCATCAAGGAAAAACAAAACAAAAAAATTTTTTTGCCTTGCTAAAAAATGCCCACCTCTACCACGTCAAGGCCGCTTCAAGAGGTTGGAGTCAGTCGGACAATGATTCTTGTTGGCTGGGAAGAACCCTGATACCAGAAACAAAGGAATGTTGGAGAAGTCCAGAGACTGAGCCACTGTCATGCAGAAGATGATGGCCTAACGGTGCCCTCATGTTTGTAAAGGTACTTTTGGATAAGAGGTTCAAATAATCATTTGTCATTATATCTTCCAAAACACAGATGGCTCTGACCGAACTAGATCTGTAAGATCAAGGGATTGCTTTTAAATTATGAACAGTGATTCTCCTTCACCAATTAATTTATTTACAGACTAATAAATCTGTAGGAGTCTCCTTTAATTAACTGAGTATGTTAGAAATGAACTAGATAGCCTCTTTCCTTTGAAAGAAAAAACATAGGCCTTGTATACAAAAACCAGACTTTCTGTACATGTAACTTTTCTACATAAACCAAGGCCAAAGTCTCTGAGGATAGGGATCATTCACTCAGAAATTCTGATACTGAACTTGCAGAACTGGGTCCTCCATATGGCTTTGAATAGCCTCTTTAGTAAATTTCTCTTTTACTAAACTTTGAGGTTACTTTAAGGCAGTGATTATTTCAATCAACACGTATAGATGTGAGGCATAGTCAGGTCATTAATTCATGTTCCTTTTTTCTGCTACTCCCACACTTGACAGGGGCTCATCTTCATCTTCAGATGTTTCTTTTGTTTTTCACCATCGGGTTCTTCACAGCAAATGAGCCATCATTTTCCTGACTTCACCCTTTGGAGGGGACCCTGGCAAGGAGGTAGACGTTTTCTTTTTTTTCTTTTTTTTTTTTTTTAAATGTATTCCACTTGACTTCTCTTTGACTTTTTTTTAGATTTTTATTTATTTATTTATTTATTTATACAAGCACTGGGTACAGTCAGAAGCGCGGGAGGGCGAGAGAATTCACCAGAGCCAGAGCGGGGAGCAGAGCAGGCAGAAGGACAGAAGTACACTGCTGAGGGGAGCAGCGGGCGGCAGGAGAGGTCTGCGCGCCATGTGGGACCCTCCTCCGGTGGCCGGGGAGCAGCAGGGGATCGAACCGGTGCTGCAGAGGCCGCGGGCAGCTTCGCAACCCAGTGCTCAACCGCTGCGCCACCGGGGAGACCCGAGGTAGACGTTTTCTGACACAGCAAAATGTAGAATTTTTTTTTTTCTGTTCACAGAATTTTTGAAATTTAGCAGGTGGTAAAATGATATATCAGTGGGGAATGTATGGATTGTTGGATAAATAATGCAGATACAACGTTGGAAGAAGATAAAATTGCATCCCTTCCATATAAGAAGTTGGACTCGCTTGTCACATCCAGGGTCTCTAAAGACCCCATAGGAAGTTCTGAAGCTGTCTTGTCTTAATTGTCACAAGTTAGGTGAAGTCTTTATATCTCACAAACATCAAATGACTCAGGAATGTAAATGTAAATAATCAAAACATAAAAATAGTATAAGAAAACATGGATGAATTTGATTATTAACAGTGGAGAAAAATTTCCCTGTGACTTGTTAACTGAAATAATCAGTTCACAGAAAAAGATATGGCCCTTAAACATTTGAAAATATGTTCAGTCTTGCTGAATGCATCTAGCCATGTTAAGCAATATATAAATATGTTGCAGCTATGGTAAGATCTGTCAGGTAGGCAAAAATCCAAAATCAGACAATTTTTTGTTGTTGATGAGACCATGGAGAAGGAGGTGGTCTCCTTCATGGATGAGTATGTACAAAATGATAGAACTTTTATGAAAGTGAGTTGACAAGACATGGCACAATCACATTTGCATTTACCTTTTGGCCCAGCAATCTCACCATCCCAAGGAACACTAGCCAAAACAAAACAAAACAAAAATATGCACAAAGTTATTCACTGCAGGGTTCTTTGTAATAGCAAAGGAATGGAAATAAACTCAAAGCCTCTCAGTAGGGGACTGATTGAATAAACAATGGGATAGCCACATAATGAGGATTATGCAGCTATAAAAAAAATGAGGAAGATTTGCTCTGTTTATGTACAAGGCATACTCTTCAGGATATATTAAGTTACAAAAATCCCTAGTGTTTATAGGATGCTAACTTTATTTTTAAAAAAGAGGTAAAAATATAATGTATGAGGGCATATATTTAGAATAAAAATGAAAGACAAAGTGAGAATTGTAAAAATGGTTATTTAGAGATCTGGACCTTCATTGTTAGCACCCTCAGGTTGTTATGTCTTTTGAATATCCATTTGACCCCCTTGGATCGAAAAGCTCTTGTGCTAACCTTGAGGGGTAGCACAGGGGAGATAAGATTTAGAGGGGAAAAGGGAGCCTTTTCTCTGCATCTGGGCCATACCTGGGTCAGGACTCTATTTCATCATGCACTTTCTAACCTAGTCTGACTAAATGAATCATACAGTTGTTTCTGACATGGAACTAAGCAGCTTTTTGGTTTTTCAGACCCATTTGTGTCTTCCCACACCCTTTCTAGCATGCAGAGTACTGGAAACAATCTTTAAGAAATCTATTTAATTTTTAGTTCTTAAATTCTAGTTAGGACTTTCAAAAAATTATATTTGGTATTTTTACATCTAATTAAGGACAGAATCATGCAAAATTGTGCATCAAAACTCATCTTCTATCCAGACATTTCAAAAAACACCTCAAACCAAAGACTATGAAAAAGAGCACATTAAAAGTGAAATACCAAAATATGTATTGCTCCGCTAACTTCAGTTGGAAATGAGTGTTCAGTAAAACAAACATAATGGTTGCAGAAGCAAGCTAGTAGCTGACAAAATGTCTAGACTTCTCGTCCACAATGTTAAACTCTAAAATGTTGACTACATAACTTACTTGAATAAGAAAATTTTAATAATAATGCCAGTTTAAACACTTTTCATGTTTTTTTCTTGTATTGCAGAAGTTCAATTCCATGATAGTGATATTTTGCTTGTGCTCTAGCTAAACAATCATATTAAAAGCTAGGCCATTCAGTCTTCAGCTGAAATGTTCCTCTTAACTTAAACCTCTTCCTTAATGATTTCCTTGTAGAAATAATCATGAAAGAAATGTTTACCTTCACACTTGTCTTTTGTACAGATACTTCTTGGTTTTCATTCTGTGATAGATGTCAGTGTGTGTGTGTGTGTGTGTGTGTGTGTGTGTGTGTGTGTAATTATATAATTTCTGGGTAAGCTTGGTTAATCTCTGCTGGTTTCTCTCTACACCCATCCCATCACTGCCCAATATCTTACTCCACTTTTGTGACAAATATTTTTTCCTACCATCATCCCTTATACTCTTTTGACCCTGTCTCTCTCCCCCTTAACCTCAGAACCTCACTTCATTTGTTAATGTCTGATAGCTTTTATAACCTTGCCAGATAGTCTGCCATGCAAATGTCCAATATTTGTCTTTGTCATTGACTTGCTTTACTACATATTATTGTCTCAAACTCCCTCCATTTCACTGTGATTCACATTTTGTCTTTTCTTATGGTTGAGTAGTTTTCACTGTGTAGATATAACACATTTTCTAGATCCAATTCTCTATCAATGGGCACTTAGGTTGTTTCATGGTCTATTGTAAATACATATTGTAAATACAGCTGTACTAAACATTGTGGAGCATATAATATTTTTTGAGTTGACGGTTTCAAGTTCTTTCAACAGATGCCCAAAAGTGGAATTCCTCAGTCATAAGGTTCCACTTTTACCTTTTGAAGCTATGTCTAGATCCAAAATGGCTGCACCAGTTTACATTCCAACCAGCTATGTTAGAGTTTCTCTTTCTCTGTGTCCTCTCCAGCACTAGCTGTTGGAGATTCTTTGATTATGTGCTGTTCTCATGGGTGTGCAGTGGTATCTCATTGTGCTTTTGTCCTGCATCTCCCTTATTAAAAGTGATGATGGACATGTCCCAAGTATCTGTTGGCTATCTGGGTATCCTCTTTGGTGAATTGTCTCTTCAGAACTGTTGCCCATTTATTTAATTGGGCTGGGTTTTGTTTTTTTATTGTTAAGTGGTGTAAGTTTTTTATATATCTTGGGTATTAACCACTGGTTGGTTGTGTAATATGTAAATATAGTCTCCCATTTGGTAGAGTTTTTAATATACTTATTTTTTCTTTTCTGTGTAAAAACTTGAGGCAAAGCCAATTGTTTATTCTTGCTTTTATTTCCCCTGCCATAGGGGTGGAGTCTCCAAAGACATCTTTATTAGTGTTTCTATGAACATATTGAGTTTTCATAGTTCTTACATTTTTATTGTTTCAGGTCTTATATCTAAGTCTTTACTCCATTTTGAATTTATTTTTGTGCATGAAGTTAGAGTGATTCATCCAGTTTTCCCAGCACGATTTGTTAGAAAGACTCTCCTTTCTACATTGTGTGGTTGTAGCTCCTGTATCAAGAGTTATGTATTGCTATATGCATAATTTTTTCCCCTGGGCTTTCAGTTCTGTTCCATCGATCTATGTCTACTTTTATTCCAATACCACATTGTTTCAATTGCTCTTGCCATCATAGTGATACTGTTATAGGACAGGGAGAGGGGCACCCCAGACCCCCACAAACCTGCCTATTCTAAATGGGTTCTGCCATCCGCCGCATCAACACAAAACATAAGAGACTTTAATGGGAAGGAACTTTAATAAAACTAGGAAACAATACAGGTAAGGCAAAGAGTCTAGTTTCTAAATGAAGCACCCAAAGTTACCCGTCCCCTCGTGGGTAAAAGTCCATCCATATGGGATTGGCCCAGAACAAGGCCCCAAAGCCTGCCACAAGTCTAAAGCATCTTCCAGTGGGGACCCACAGAAAAGGGTCACAAACAACTGGACAAGCCCAGAAGGAAAAGAGCAAAATCAACATCAAGATAAAAACTGCCATTGTCACCTCCCCACGGGTCTCACCCACATCTGTGTCACCTAGTCCACGACCAAAAGACAAGCGCAGTTTCTTCACGTGTTTCTAGGCTCCATGTGCCTCCTCCAGGTCTCCTGGCTCCATCCTGCTTCCTTCCTCAGTCTCTTCTGCAGCTTCTTCTCTCCCTGCTCAGCTCCACCCTTCCTTGGGTGGGGCAGGGAACCTGGAACCTCCCCCTTTCCTGGGGACCACCCTGTTACAATACCGGAATTGTCTAGCTTGCCCTGTGTCTCAATAGTACAGTTTAGAATCTGGTAACAGCCATATTGTTGTAGAGCAACCCCGATACAAAACGGGGTGCCTGACTGTGGGTCCTCACCCGCGCGCTTAAAAGGACTTATCAATGCTCTACTACAGGCACACGTGAAAGGTTAATAAAAGGTTTATTTACAAGGGAAAGGGAAATGAGGAAATGTACAGTTCTGGGAGAAAAGTGGGAGACAAAGTTTTAAATGAGTCCTACCCGATCCGCCGATCAGGAATCCCAAAATGGCGCTCTGAGAGCTGGCCGCCAGCCAGGAGCGGTGAAGCCAGGAGGCGAGCGATCGCGAGCCAGAGAGAGAGCAAGGCCCACGTGTTTGGTTTTTATATCCAACCTGGCTGCCCAACTCCACCCTCAGGTCCCAGCCACCCTCCCCTTGGTGGTGATGGGATTTGTCTTTCCCAATGTCCTGATGGCTTTAGTCTGGAGTGGGGGTGGAGTCCACAAAGCCTGTATGAGATTATCTCAGGACATCCTTTCCCCGTAACAATATCACTTTTAAAAGTCATCTGTTTGGACCTTAAATTCCTGAAACAAGAGCTACACAGTTCCTTTTGCTCCTGCTATCTCTGGCACTTATTAGGTGTTAGAAAAT